GGAATCATCCGGCCTCTTGAAAAACTAACTTCGGTGGCTGATTTGGCGGACTTACGGATATAGGGCTACTTTCTTTGATCACCTAATGACTTCTAGACTCGAAACGAACCCGAAAATATACTCTGCCTGATAAATTGAACATGCGTCCAATATCTTTCAGAATAGCTGCTTAAAAGAACCGACAATATTGAACCAGTAAACTTAGAGGATCACTAATAAAGAACGATTTCAACGGATGTAAACGGATAGGTCCTCAGCAATCGGCACATTAAATATTCCACAACTAAGCCGTAAACAATGCCCATTGCCACAAATACTTTGCATACTCCAGCAAAACCGAATACTAATCAAGTAAATAATCATAACAACGCTAAACTTGTGCCGATCGGCATATCATCCGCTTAATAATAAGTGTCCGAAATGTAAACCTTCGAATTTTGATAATTCTAACTAAATATCAACAGAAAACACAAAATGCAACTGGAAACTAATATGTTCTCGCAAATATCACCAATGATGATAGATCATGAATAAAATCAAATTAGAGTTTCATGATGAGCACGAATTTGCATCTGAACAATATCATCAAACACCAATCCATCAGAGAACAGAGACAAAGTAATTAACAACAACTGTACAAACTCCCAGCCAAGCATTAAATTCTCAAGAGATTCTCAATACTCTTTAAGAAACACAATCCCTAATTCAACTTCACTGTCAGTTTGCGTGCTGTACACAGAAGAACAATGAATGAATCGCTCGAATGCCACATTATCAATAACTTATCGAATAATCTCACTCAAAAAATTACTTCAAATGAATTTGATTCGTAAACAATTCACAGAAATTTTCATGATTCAGAGTTATTCGACCGAAAATGATCAATTTATACGCTACAGAGAAAATTTGGTGCACTTGCGTTGGCTGGATTTGATTTGAAATTATTCAGTTGCTGCTGAAAGCTGATATCTCGAATGAACTTCGAACGGATACGAAATAGAGCAGATATCTGAGTTTTTCACTTAAGCGGCTGAGACTATCCTAGGAAATCTATCGCAAAATGAATACGATTGATAGACATTACATTACGGTAGTGCATTCAGATAAAAGATTATATCCATTATCACGTAACGATACTGCTATCTCTTATTCTAGATATTGTCTAGCCTCCATAATATCACCAAGTTGCTAGGATACAGATAGCTTGCATGTGAAGATCCTTCAATTCCATCGGAAATCCATTGACACGGATGATGATGACAAAATGATAATAATGATGCTAATAATGATAGCAATGATAACGCAAACAATATCAATAAATCAAAAAAGGCTGAAAAAAAGTGCATGCATAAAACTGAAACGAAACTCGAACCTCTGACGACAATCCGATGTCCAGCCAGATATTCGGCCTCACATTTGTCGGGCAAAGGGGTTCGTGAGTTCTCCACAAAGAACGACACGCTATCTGGCGATAAACCCCATTGTTTCAGCTTGTGATCGAGGCATTCATGAAGTTTTTGCCTCGGTAACGGTTGAACCTTGTCCATTGTTCCGAGAATTCGCCCTGCAATCAGCTCATAACTAAACAATTTCAGGTTTCTAAAGTGACACTGATGCTACTGATTCCACTTTGAATGCGTTCATTTCATTTGAACCTTCATCAATTACTCATACTCGCTTGCCAGAAGCTTAGCATAACTGAGTGAACTAAGCTACTTCATACAGATCAATGACTTTGTTTTAACTGACTAAGTACTTGAATTCAAAAACTCATCAGTACGATCTCCCCATGGAAGAATCACTAAAATTCATACAACTTCGAATCTCCTCCGAATCAATCGAGTACAACAAAATCACTAAAATATATGATTATGACAGAACAACAAAAGGAAGCGAATACACACCTTCTTCATCAACATATTCAACATTGAATGTAGTACACTGTTCGAGCCTTCGATCAAGTTCCATCGAAGGGTAACGACTCTGAAAAAGGATTTCTTTGAAAACTTTGATCAATCACCATCTCAATTATAATCACGGGAAGGCAAACACTACTCAAAAGAACTTCTCCAGTTACTGATTGAAATATACACCATCAACGGTGACTGACAGTCATTTCATTGAAGTATCACCGTTTCGTATTTCCAGCTGTCTTTCTAGGACACTGTCGAAATATTTCCTCAAACCAGTAGTTCTTGTCTGCATTCCGAAACATTTTGGAAGCATTTTTTTGAGAGAGAGAAAGTAAAAAACTTGTCACAATCAACTTCTCTGAAACACTAGAGGTAATATGAACTGCTCAAATAAAACTTATGCAATACGAATTCTCCTGCATAAATGCAACAAGATATGAACGTATCACCATCCTGCCCACAAGAGAATAAGATTTGTTTTCTTAAACCTTCATTGAGATTGATGAGTGAGATAGACAGACGTACACTTAAGAAATGTACCACCACCACTTTGCACAATGGGTCGAAAGCAAACACCGATTGAAACTTAAACTTTGCAAAATCTCCAAGCCCAAAAAATATGATACTAATGGGAATGCTAGTGAAATGGAGGAGGTGAAGAGCTTCTGACTACGACGACGAAAATGAAGCAAGAGAAGATAAAATCAAAGAACTCTCAACATACGCAATGCTAACAAAATGATAATAAATTAAAAAATAATGAGAGATAACACAAACAATTACAACAACGAAAACGATCCCACTGAATAAATGATTGAAAGACTACGTGAAGAATTGAATGCATCGATAAAGAGTTATTGTTATTTGTCGATGTTCGCTCATCATAATACATAAGTTCATGTTTTATAAATGTGTATTTCTACAACTAAACGAAACAAAAAAATTTCTTCTCAGTTCACTGATTCTTCATGCCGATTTGTTTGTCTATTTCTTAGGTAAACAAACTTGTTAAGTAACGAACTGAGCCACGGATGTGCCACCACATCTCTTCCTTCACTATTCCACTAGCGGAAATTCAATGAAATGCAACCTGATAATCCCCCGATCCACCTAACAGTGCAAAGCGCAAGAAGCGAACTCAAACAGTATAATCAGAGAACACAAGTAGAAACTGAATACCTTCCACCAACAAAAAATTGTTCAAAATTTCCACAAAAATCTCAAAATATCACCTATTTGACAGAAATACATCTGTATATCACCGCAAAAATTCAATATCCTGAAAAAAAAACAAAAAACAAAAACAAACAATCGCACAGATTTGGATGGCAGGTACGGTTGGTTACCTTTTGTAAAGTGACACCATCACTGAGAACAGCTACGATTCATTTAGTTCAAAATATATTATATAGAACACTTATGACATGATACACATCACAATAACGTCAGAATATTTTTCGTTTCATTTTTCAATAAAACAGTTTCTTTTTTGACTTCTAACAGCACGAATAATTTTTCCATTTCAAGCTGTTCATCGCTTCTAAAACATAATTTGCGAAAAATGCGCAATTAAATGGCAGGAAAATGGCTCAAACAAACGGAAAGAAGACAAATTTTCCATTGTTTTGGAATTTTCAAAATCTCGAATTCAAATCTCAAAATCACATTTTCAAATCTGTTATTTTCTAATAACAGCTTGACAATTCAAACGATAATGACAATTCACTCCATCATTCGAACTAAATTCCACAAAAAAGCAAAACGAAATTCCAACTCTTTGCTCAACACTGCTCACAATAAACCATGTAACGACGACACTAGCATTGAAGTATCGAATTGCAGTAGCACTTCGGAACGAACGCAGAATCGCTATTTCATCAAGTAATCCATAGTTCTTGTCTCCTCTTTCAACACCATACAAAAAGCGCTCTTCACTGCTCTTTCACTCTTCTATATTCCTCCTAACTCGATAAAAAAATCTCGACAAAACTTTTCTTCACGTTATCTGCATTACCGCAAACTCGAACTCATCTATAACCTCATCAATCTAATTTAAGATTTCATTTCACACAAGTCTACCGAAACCTCAAGTTGAATACAATGCTTCGAAGTTGACATTGAGCTGAACAACGAACCTGTTTTTTGCATTAGCTCAAATTTGATCAATTGATAACGAACAAACTCATGTCAGTGATATAATACCACAGACGTTATCATATCAGTCTATTAGCTCACAATCAGTATAATCAGCTGCAAGCCCCTGAGAGCAATTCAAATTCAATCTCTTCACATGTTATTCAGCGTGATCCTTAATCCTATAGCTTAATCAAAACAAATAATAAAACGTAACCAAAACACATAAATCTAAATGACATCATTGTGGCCGCTGATTAAACGCAAACAAAACCCATTGTAACAGACGAAAACATCTGTAAATTGGAGAATCGAATGCTTTCTGAAGACAACGACAAACACTTACACGAATTAATCTGAATTTTTGCGCATTTCCAGTCTCATAATATGATTCAAAAATTTAGCACAACAAACGCTCTCAGTTCCAATTTGTACCAGCAGCATCACACAATAAATACCTTGATGAAGTGTTGTTCTCAGATATACGCTTCATCTCATATACCATGAAATTGATTCCCAAAAAACAATCAGAACTAAACAAAAATTCCAGATTTCACGAATCTAATCAATCTCAAAATCTTCACAAATTCTCCATCTACACATACAGATATATTTCTGTCAAAATAGACATTTTTAGCCGAGCCGTGTGAGCTGAGCCGTAAGAAATTGTTCACCTTAAGAAATATAAATGAATGATAGGTCGTAATGGTTACAAGGACTAAAACGATCAAAAAGAGGCCTATNTACCTGAGAATCACACAGTTATCAAGTAAAAAAAGAAAGAAGGAAACATCCAGTAATTTCATAGTTCAATAACGATTTCCACCCGCATATCGCCGCAGTTCAAGCAGGTATACCTACTGCTGCCTTAACTATGCAATAGAATGTGAACAATCAAGCTCAATTACCATCTTATTTCTTCATTTTATTCCTCTCAGAATCTGCTGCTGCTATTAGTGTGTTATTATTACTGCTTGCTATTATTATGCATTACTTTCAGAGTGCATTTGCTAATTATTGCATACCAACAAAATTCACCTATTCAAAGAGTTTCTATTCAAAAAGATCACCATCATCATCATCTTCTCTCTCATTCGATGAAATCAGATAGATCATTTGAAAAAACTCGAAATGACCATGAACGATGAATATTCTTTCTTCACCCAAAATTTTCCTATGCCTCATCACATCTTGAACCCTTCAACAAAACACTATTATCCTACTCTTATCAGCAGTATCAAACTTTCGTGGACATAATGTAATCAACTGACTTTCTTTCAAAAAACTTAACATCTGATAATGAATATTTTCGATAGTTTCTCTAAAAGATTGGTTTTCCATTAGTGAAAGGATAGATATCAAATCACGCCAATCACCAACAATTACACCTACTTTGCTTTCTCATTAACTACCTGGTAACAATATAGTTATTATATCATATTATACTATCAGTATTATGAATGTTCAACTATAATAAATCTCATTCAGTTCAATCCCAAATCCTATTCAAGTACGCCGTATTAGAAGAAGACGTAGAGGGTCTGGCCTTAAAGGTTTGTCCAATCTGGTACTGGAGAGATGCAATCCTACATTCCAATCCTACCTGAAATTTCCCAAGATTTCCAAGTGATTCCGAAATCATACAGTATCTTCCTCAATCCCATTGCGACGCCAACAAAACACTCGCTATCATGCTCATCAAAACCGAATTATCTAATAAATAGATCTTGAGAAGATCCGAAAATCCGAAATCCGAGAAGATCCGAAAAAAGAGCAAATTCACATCGCACATGTAACAATTTCAACTCAAAATTGCAATATCATTACTATTGTATTGTATTGTACATGAACGATTCAA